CCCCGTACTGGATTTCGACGTCGTTCGATATTCCCAAAGGACTTCGGGTAGGATTTCTCTCCACTTTCCTTTAGCGTCGTTCAACCTCTTCTTTAGGTTCTGAATAATGGTTTTGTTCGTTGATTCGGCCTCTCCGTTCCCACTGGGGTGATACGGTGTTGATAATCTCCTTCTTATTCTGTGGTCTTCGAAGAATTTCATCACTTTGCTGCCCACAAATTGTTTCCCATTATCACATACTATTTCGGCTGGTATCTCGAATCGGCATATGATATGATCCCAGATAAAGTCTATAACTTCTTTCTCTCTTACTTTCTTGAACTCCTGTGCTTCAACCCATTTAGAGAAATAATCAGTCATAAATAAGATGAATTTAGCTTTACCTGGGGTTGATGGCAGAGGGCCGACGATATCCATTCCCCATTTCATGAATGACCATGGGGATAGGACCGAGTGAAGTTGCTCTCTGGGTTGATGGATCATTGGTGCAAACCTTTGACATTTGTCACATTTTCGAACAAATTCCTTCGCATCTTTGCCCATATCGATCCAATAATACCCTGCCCTGATTATTTTTTGGACTAATGGATCGGCACCAGAGTGATTCCCACAAGTACCCTCATGCACCTTATGTAAGATGTAATCGGTATCTCCTAGACCCAAGCATACTGCCAATGGTCCATCGAATGTCCTTCGGTATAATGTTCCATCTGAAGCCACCGTGAATCTAGCAGCTTTAGTCCGTAGGGCTCTTGAATCTTTAGGGTCCGATGGGAGCTTTCCGTCCTTTAAGTATTCAATATACTTATTTCTCCAATCCCAGGTTAAGCTTGTAGAATTTATCTCGGCGTGACCTTCTTTGATCACGGATCTCAAGAGTTGAACGAGAGTCCCCGAGCTCAAGTCACCTTCCTCGATCGATGATCCCAAATTCACAAGTGCATCAGCCTCACTGTTTTGCTCTCGTGGAACGTGCTGTGATATGTAGTTTGTCCAAATACTTTTCCATTCTATCCTCTCTAACTTCGAAGGTTTTGTTTACTTGACTTACCACCAACAGAGAGTCACATTTGGCTTCTATGACTTCTGCTCCCAAGTTTTTAGCTAGCTCGAGACCTGCAATCATGGTCTCATACTCGGCCTCGTTGTTAGTCAACCTGGTAGTTTTAATAGATTGCCTAATAATGTTACCTGTGGGTGGCTTTAAAACTATGCCCAACCCGAACCCTTTTACGTTTGAGGCCCCGTCCATAAAAAGGGTCCATACCCTCGAGGACGTACCTGATTTCAGCAGGAATTCTTTTTCAACTTCGGATACGAGGGTTGGCGTGAAATCTGCCACAAAGTCTGCTAAAATTTGAGACTTGATGGTCGTACGGGGTTGATATTTGATATCGTACCCACTGAGTTCGATGACCCATTTGGCAAATCGACCTGATAGTTTGGGCTTGTGCAAAATATTACGAAGTGGGTAAGTTGTTAATACGCATATGGGGTGACATTGAAAGTATAGTCGTAACTTTCTAGAGGCGCTTATCAGTGCAAGTCCCAATTTTTTTAGGTGTGGATATCTAGCTTCTGCTTCTCCTAAGGTTCGACTTAAATAATAAATGGGAAATTGCGTACCTTGCTCTTCCCGAACTAGGACACCGCTTACTACGATTTCTGATACTGCCAAGTATAAGCAAAGTTTTTCGTCTGCTTTTGGAGTGTGAAGTAGTGGTAGGCTCGACAGATATTGTTTCAGTTTCTTCAATGCCTGTTGGCATTCCGGGGTCCAAGCGAAATTGTTCTTCTTTTTGAGTAGGGAGAAATTTTTTTCTTTCGATCTGATGATCTCGAAATGAATCGGCCTAGGGCCGCAATTCATCCTGTAAGCCTTTGTATAGCTTTTACGTTGTCCACGATGGTGATGTCTTTGATGGCCTTGATTTTATCGGGGTTAATCTCGATTCCCTGATTTGACACCATGAAGCTGAGGAACTTACCCGAACCGACCCCGAAAGTACATTTTTCGGGGTTGAGCTTCATGTTATATTTCCTCAAAATCTCGAACGTTTCCTGCAAATGGGTCAGATGGTCCTCTGCGCGCAGGGACGTAACTAGCATGTCATCAATATAAACTTCCATTGATTTACCTATTTGTTCTTCGAATATTTTATTTACTAGGCGTTGGTAAGTAGCCCCCATATTTTTAGCCCGAAGGGCATCACATTATAACAATATGTTTCATATTTGGTGACAGATGAAGTCTTTTCCTGGTCCTCCGGGTTCATCCGGATTTGATTATACCCGGAATAGGTATGGAAAAAAGTGAGGATCTCGTGACCGGCTGTGGCATCGATCATGCGATCGATGTTGGGTAGCGGAAAAGAATCTTTGGGGCATGCTTTGTTTAAATCCTTATAGTCCATGCATATTCTAAGTTTGTTTCCTTTTTTAGGCACTACAACTATATTGGCTAACCATTCAGGATATTTCACCTCCCGAATGGACCCTATCTTGAGAAATTTGGTTACCTCGTCTTCTACGAATGCGTGTTTTACCTCGGACTGGGGTCTTCTCTTTTGCTTTACTGGTCTGAACTTAGGGTCCAAGCTTAGCCGATGCGTCGTTATGTCCGGTGGAATCCCTGTTATATCTAAATGGGACCAGGAAAAACAATCAATGTTATCGATAAGAGATTGGACAAGTTTCTTCCTGAGTTCGGGGCTCAACCCCGTTCCCAGGTATACCTTTCATTCGGGCTAGTGCTCGATTAGTGTGACATGCTCCAATTCCTCAATTGTTGATTTGGTGGCGTCGGTGTCATCAGGAATCACGAAGGATCAAGGGACCCTCTGATCATCATCTTCTTCGATCATTTGGTTATCTGGTTGGGTCGAAGCCGATGTCTGTGATTGCTATTTGGTGTCTCGTTCTCCTTTTGAGCCTGATCCCTTTACTGACGAAGGCGAGGATATTGGTTTCGCTTCCTCGATGGCGAACATTTCTTTTGCGGCTAGTTGTTCTCCGTACACTGTTTTGACTCATCTCGATGTTGGGAATTTGAGGACCTGGTGTAGGGTCGAAGGTACAGCTCTCATGTTGTGGATCTATGGCCTTTTGAAAAGGGCGTTGTACCTCATGTCGCCTTCGATTATGTGAAACTTTGTTTCCTGGATGGTTCTGGCCACGTTTATTGGTAGAATTATCTTGCATTTGGTGGTTTCACATGCCATATTGAATCCGTTTAGAACCAGGGTTGCGGGTACGATCTGGTCCCACATGCCGAGCTGCTCTACGACCTTCAATCTGATGATGTTGGCCGAGCTACCTGGATCAATCAACACACGCTTAACTTTAGTTTTATTCATGAGTACGGATATTACCAGTGCATCGTTATGAGGCTGTACAACCCCTTCTGCATCTTCATCATTGAAGGACAAAAATCGTATGGGTGTGTAATCCTGAGTTCGAGATCGCTTTTCTCTCACAATCGATGTTTTAGTGCGTTTAAGCACTGGTCCCTGAGGGGTATCAGCACTGCCGATGATCATGTGAATGACGTGTTGTGGCTCTTCCTACTTGTTTCGCTTGCCGAAATCCCTTTTTTTAAAATGGTTCCTCACCCTATCGCTCAAACATTCCCGAAGGTGGCCTTTGTTAAATAACCGGGCTACTTCCTCTCTTAGTTGCCTGCAATCTTCCGTTCTGTGGCCATGGGTGCCATGATATTCACACATTTGATTGGGATTCCTTTGGGCAGGATTGGTCTGCATGGGTCGAGGCCATTTAGTGTCTTTGATTCGTCCGATAGCCGACACGATGGCAGATGGATCAATGCTGAAGTTATATTCCGATAACCGAGGTGCTTCTATAGGATCGACATATTTATCAAGGCCGCTCTTGCTCACAAGTCCCCGAGAATTTTGCCCTCGATCAATCCTTTAATTGTTTCGAGCGGTATTGCATGTTGAACCGTTGTTCATCCGATCTGTGACGTACGGTTGATATCGGTCTCTGTTCGACCTCTATTCTCTGTCGATCTCCCTTTGGTTTTTAGTAGGTTTCCTATTCTGATGCATGGGTCCAAACGGAGCTCCCAACTGGTCATCTTCGATCCTAATGTTTGACTGATATCGTTTGTGTATATCTGCCCAAGTTATTGCTAGATACTCGATCAACTTTTGCTTCAGCCGACGTGATGCTATCGAACTTTGCTCGTGCAACCCTTGGGTGAAAGCTTGGACGGCCCAATTGTCTATGACCGGTGGCAATTACATGCGTTCCATTTGAAATCGGGATACGAATTCTCTCAGCATTTCATTACCCCTTTGCTTTACTTTGAAGAGGTCTGATTTCCTTGTTGCAACCTTTATGGCACCAGCATGTGCCTTTACGAACGAATCTACTAACATGGCAAAAGAATCGATGGAATTTGGCAGCAGATTGTGATACCAGATCATCGCTCCCTTCGAGAGGGTCTCCCCGAACTTTTTCAACAACACAAATTCGATCTTATCGTCCTCCAAATCATTACCCTTGATGGCACATATGTAAAAGGTGACGTGTTCGTTAGGATCAGTCGTACCGTTATATTTGGGAATTTTGGGCATACGAAATTTTTTGGGGATTGGTTTTGGAGCCGCACTCGAGGGAAAAGGCTTTTGTATGATTTTTTTTGAATCCAGCCCTTTTATCATTGGTGGAGCTCCCGGGATTTGATCGACCCTGGCATTGTATGTTTTCACTCTCTTGTCGTTGACTTTGACTCGTTTTGTGAGTTCCTCGAGCAATTTAGTAATTTCGGGAGTGGTCCCCGATTCTTGCTCATTTGATTTCACTATGGCGGGCTCCGTTCTGGGGGTGATTTCTCGAAGCGGATTGGGATCTGGCCTGCTTTGTATATGAGTTTGGCTCTGCAACTGAGCTGTCTCTACTTGTTGGGCTTGTAACATCTCGAAGATCATACGTAAGTTGGCTCCGATTTTCCCCACTTTATGGGTGTCTCGAGCTACGGATCGAGTACTGCCTTGAATGCTTTTTTCCGGTTCGGAACGTTGGTTCGCCTCAAGAGCCACTTGCGAATTGACATCTAATGGTACTTCAGCTCGAATTTCGGGTACTTCGATTCGAGCCTCAGTGCCATCATCAAGTGGCCTTCCGGCCCCAGGTACCAAGTTATTGGTTTCATCATGAAGGCCAGCTTCGTGGTCGATAGGTAAAGCCATTGCTGATTCGAAGTTATAAACTGATGTGTACTGCAGATTTATATCAAATAATCACTATTATCCTTAGCCCCACGGTGGGCGCCAAACTGTTTACCTGAAAAATCAGATAACGTTAAATTTGTGTATGGTTCTAAGGATATGTGATACAATTTGATACAAATCGTAAGGAGAGATAGAAATATGTGTATTCTTGACTATGAGAATGGGAATAGTGAGCAAAAAGAATGAATAAGATAAAGTAAAACAAGCACAAGGAGATATCTTTCAATATGAGAAGTGATCTTTTGTTACAGTGTATTCGGTGTCTCTATGCTTACAAGGATCCCCCCTTTTATAATAGAGGGATCCTACTTTATTTATAATAAAATAAAGCATATAGTGGAGGACCCATGATGAATTATCTCTTCCTCGATTCCCGCCAAGATTCTCTCCCTTAGTGCGGTTGTAACGGCTCTTGTCTGTGAGCTCGATATTGGCTCGAACTCGTTATTGGGTCGAGCTCTCGGTTTTGGCTTGAGTTCGACCTTCGGGGTGGGCGTAGCACATATTCGACCTCGAAGCAATGCCTTGCGGATCGATTTGGTCACGGGCTCGATAAAAGTATCGAGCCAACTCCTCGATCAGCCTTCGGACTCGAGGCCCGTTTGTACTGTCTTCGGAACTCATCCCAAAATCTCACTTTGGTTGCTTACCATTCGAACTCGATCGAACGTAGGAAGACCGAAATCTATTTTGACCGTATACAGACTTCTCATTGAATTCACTTAAAATATACTTTTCATTTTTAGTTTGTTTAGACTTTTGCTTTCATAAAAAGATAATATCCGGATGCATCCGAATGTAGAATTAGTTGTGTGGTTATGTACTTGGACATGAAAAAAAAGTAAATTTCTAATCAAAAGGCTTAAGCAATATCTAAAACATTGTAGATAAACAAATATGATCCTTCTAAATAAAGTACTTCATATTAGATAATAACTTGAAAGTAAAGTTCCACATGAACTTATGCATGTAACTATAGAATATGTCAATTAATGAATTTGAGTTTAGCAATGGAACGAAAAAGTTAATTTTAATAATAACTCATTTATTCCCGAACACAACAAAAATGTATTTCAAGAGCAACAGACAACAAGTCATTTACCCTACCATTTACATCGATTGATGTATTTTATAAAAATCCAAAGGTAGAAATTGATAATTAAATAATATGTGAAGCTAAAAAGTTACCCGATTTCTTGTCATGCTTTCTTGATTCATCACTCAGATTCTATCTAATTTTCTTTGCCCACATAATCACAAATTTTGTAAACCAGTGCGTACGTCTTCTATTTCTCTTCTTCGATTTCAAACTGATAAATAATTCCAACAGGTGCAATAAAAAACAACCACCATATTCAAGGCAAATATAGAAGGTGCCTTTCAATTTGTTGCAAAGATAACCACTATGATTTATCAATTATAATCTTGATAGTGTATTGAATTATGAATTTTGTAAGTCTCATTTTGAAAGGATTCGTAGTTAAGTGGTGCTGAAAGGATGTGTTAATACTCAGTAGAATGACAGAGCCGTTGTATTTCTTCTTGTTCGGAATAAGTTAATCGGCATTTTGTGGCAACTCTTCGAAATTAGGACTCTTTAAATTATTAAGATACTTAAACAAATAGGATGGGTATTTTAGTTAATTAGGATATTTAGATAAATCAGAAGGATAGTTTTGTAATTTAACTTTTAAGCTAAGGGCTTCTCACTTTTATAATAATAATAGATATAGATA